GAAAAAGATAAAGACAGCAAATAAACAGGTTCACGATGCTGTCATCCACCCCTAGCTTTCAGCTAGCCTGGAATCAAGGGAAATCTGTGTCTCGAATATTCAGAGAGGTCTCCAGACTTGATTGAGGAACCTTTCCATGTAAAATTGCCTGACACAGAACTGTGTTTTGCCACCACACCTCCAACTGGCTCCAAGGTTCCATTTTTGAGGTTATAAAAATTATAAACATAAAAAGTCAGAGAACACCTGAGAATATAAAAAAAGAACAGAAAATGTCAACATATTATTAAATAATAAACAAAAGATGGAGAAACTTACAACTGAGACAAATGTCATCAATGTCTTTAGTAAAGTAAGTTATATAAAACCAGTTATTTATTTATATATATTTTTGCCAGGTACAACAGAACATCTCAGAGGGCAATGACTGAAGGTAAAACAGGAAGATTGGTAGGAAGCCAGCATTTGTTACTGTTGATAGATTTCCCATCCTAGAAACATCAGTTGCTCCCCAGTTAAGGCTGGAAGCTTATTCTGAGAAAAGAAATTAAAAACATTTCTGTAAATACATATAGAATGGACAAAGGAAAGGACATGAACCAGATATCTTAAAAGTGAGAAAGTGGCCCCAACTGGGGTGTAGTGGTTATGGTGGCTGGATCCTGCATGTGCTCCAGCATGGTTTGAGTCCTTATCACCGTAACGTGAAAAACATGCTGGACACACATGCACTTGTGAGTGTGTGCCACAAATTCTGAGAGAACAATGGAGTAGAAGGGATTGCAGCATGACTACACTCCCAGGGGTATTTTTTACTTTCCTTCTATCTCTGTCTGTCCTCTGTTCACATGCCTCCTGGCAAATTAAAAAGAAAAATGTAAGAAGATGAAATTAAAAATTTTTCTGCTTGTGAGACCCTAAGTTTCATTGAGGAATAAATCATTTAATAATTTCAATGTTCTTCTGAGAGTACCTCAGTAAGCAAGAATAAATATTTGTCAGTAATTAAGAATAAAAATTTAAAATCTTATTGGATGGAATATGTGAAGTGATTAAAGAATGATTAATATCAAATTCGTAGTCAGATGTGCACAGTTATTAACAGTTAAATAAGATGTTATAACAAAAATAACTTTAGAACAAAAACAGAATTACATTTTGTTATACATATATAAGGACAACATTTGTCTTAAAAAAAAAATAATGGGAGCTAGCAGGTGGCATAGTGGTTAAGGTGTTTGACTCTCACATGACAGACCATAGTCCAAGTCCTGGATCTGGTGGCTTGCATTCTCACTTTCTCTCTCACTCTCTGTCTCTTTCTGCCAAATTAAAAAACACAATAATAATGATGAATAAAATGAAACAAAATAATTCTTTAAAAAATGATAATGTATTATAGAATCTATGTCCATGGTGGAACTTACACCACTCAGTAAGAAGGTGATGATTTGGCCTCACTGACTGGTAATTAAGGGAGCTGAATCTCACATGACCCACCACATAGTTCAAATCCTGTCCCAGATGGCTAAAAACATGCAAAGCCATGTGTGCATAAATGCCCAGAGTCCCAACAGGATGGAGAGATGGAGGAGAAATTATTATGGCTTGACCACACTCACTGATAATTGCTTTTACCTTCTCTTTCTCTTTCTTTTTCTGGCAAGCACATATGGTCATTGCAAATAAAGAAAATCAATGAATAAACTAATGAAGTAGTAAAAAAGCAAACTAACTATAAACAGTTACTCCATGGCACTCAAAAAATCTGATTATTTGATCATTAAAATGTGTTATGCAATTTTAAAAACTTGTGGGGGAAAAAACAATAACCATAACTTGTATTTCCTTTTCTCTTTTTCTTAACTCTAGGAAAACCTACCTAAGTTTTAGGACATTTCATAATCACACCAACCTGATCATGCTAATTCTCAATAAAACAGATCTGACTCCAGCTTCATTCATTCTTAATGGAGTTCCAGGGCCTGATCATGTTAATACTCAATAAAACAGATCTAACCCCAGCTTCATTCATTCTTAATGGAGTTCCAGGACTGGAGGACATACACGTCTGGATTTCCTTCCCATTTTGTTCCATGTATGTGGTGGCTGTGGTTGGGAACTGTGGACTCCTCTACCTTATCCGCTATGAGGACTCTCTGCACAGGCCCATGTACTACTTCTTGGCCATGCTTTCTCTAACTGACCTTGTGATGTGCTCTAGTACGATTCCAAAAGCCCTCTGCATCTTCTGGTTTCATCTCAAGGAAATTGGATTTGATGAATGCTTGGTTCAGATGTTTTTTATCCATACCTTCACAGGGATGGAGTCTGGGGTGCTCATGCTTATGGCCCTCGACCGCTATGTGGCCATCTGCTATCCCCTGCGTTACTCAACCATCCTCACCAATCCTGTCATTGCAAAGGCTGGGCTCGTCACTTTTTTGAGAGGAGTATTGCTTATAATTCCATTTACTTTTCTCACCAAGCGCCTGCCCTACTGTAGAGGCAATATAATACATCATACCTACTGTGACCACATGTCTGTAGCCAAGTTATCCTGTGGAAATATCAAGGTCAATGCCATCTATGGTCTGATGGTGGCACTTCTGATTGGGGGCTTTGATATCCTGTGCATCACAGTCTCCTACACCATGATCCTTCGGGCAGTAGTCAGCCTCTCCTCAGCAGACGCTCGGCAGAAGGCTTTCAGCACCTGCACTGCCCATATCTGTGCTATTGTTTTCTCTTACAGTCCAGCCTTCTTCTCCTTTTTTTCTCACCGTTTTGGTGGCCACACGATCCCACCATCTTGTCACATTATTGTGGCCAATATTTATCTACTTCTGCCCCCTACTATGAACCCTGTTGTGTATGGGGTAAAAACCAAGCAGATACGAGACTGTGTTGTAAGGATACTTTCAGGTTCTAAAGACATCAAATCCCATAGCATATAGATGGACATTTGGTGGGAGAGAGAAAAGGAAGAATTGCTTGTATTTTCCAGCTCAGCCAAAGGGTGATAAAATTTTCTGGAAGTACTATTTTGACCACAAAAAACTAGCTTGTTGAATGATGCCTTCCCAACAAGTGCCTCAAAATTCTCAATATCATTAGCATGTCCACTGATCTTTCTATATTTTCTTAACTTTTCTTTCCCACAAAAGACTAGCTTAAAAATTAAACCTGGTAACCTTTAACAAAAGCTAACATATCCATTTTTTATGAAAAAGAAAAAGAATAAGTGAAAAAGAGAATCTGAGTCCTGTTTGAAAATAATGGTTGCAATATTCTGATTGATAGTTTTTACTTTCCTCTGGAAAATATTTTCTATATATTTCCACAATTACCAAAATATCTATGATTTTTCAAGTGACTTCTTCCTGAAGAAGCAGTTAGCATGTACCCCATGAAATCATTAATATGAGTTTTAAGTCTCTAGATACTTTTTAAAAATCTTATTATTAAACTAAATAGGTCTCTCCTAGCATCCACATAAATTATTTTTCACAAGAGCATAAACAGTTTTCTACAAGAGGACCTTTAAATGTATACAGACTGGAAGAGGCATAGATCTCTTTATCAAATGTGGGACAGAGTACATTTTTTTGTGAACCATACAAAGGGGGATAATCTTATCCTCAATTGTTGATCAAATAGAGAAAATTAAGTATCTCTTTCTTATGCTTAAAATGTCTCTAACTTTAATAAATGAGAGGCTAAAAAGTAGTACACTAATATCAATGTTTCATGAACTAAGCTAGTTATATGATAAATAAAACGTGAAGTTTACTGATGTTTCTCTCTGTCCAAAAGAGAATACACAACACCTCTATCAAATTCAATTAACTATAGTCCTTGAATAACATTTATTTATTTTACAACTCTTTATTATTTTATAATTTAAGATCTTCTATTGCAACACCACTTATTTCTGTTATCAGAACATTTCCTCATTCCTCATAATCTTAAAACTAGGACAAGTTGCCTTGTCTTCTTTCCCTCTGTTTTCTCAACCCGATATTCTTGTCCAAGTTTGTGTTTCTGTTATTCCATCTGTGGTCTGAATGTTCATTTACCAATTTCATTGGTGTTTCCCATGTTAACAAATAGACTATCTAGTGTGCTTACCTAACACTGCCTCTCAGGAATATTGGACTCAATTCAGTATTTCCAATATCTTGAAAGAAGGCCATTTTCTTTTTAAACTTCAGAAACACTGTATATTTTATTTATGGCAAACATTTTGTTAGCACTGATTTGTTTTCTGTGTTCTCTTGTGGATAGTTTCCTTCAGTATCATGATCTTAAGTATTGTCTGTGAACTGAACATTTCTGTTCAGAGAGCTGTTTCCCACATTTTGATTCTTCTTGGCATATTATCTTCTACAGACAGTCCAAGATCTCCCCTTTCCCCCTTGTTCTCCAGCTCTACTTTTATTTTACACCTCATGTTCAATTTTAGCATGAATTTTTTCATATGTAAGTTTCATTGGAAATAGATGGAATTATTTGGTAATTTTATGTGTTTCAAGTAAAACAATTATTGTGCTAAAGACTTCAATCTTTTTGCTCACTTTCTCACTCCAATTTTTATTTTAAGGTATATTTATCTTAGTATTTACATTTCATATTTATTAATTCCAACTACTTCAAATTACTTGTTTCAAAATTTGTAATTTAAATTTTGATTCAAAACTGCATTTCTTGGCCTGGACCTACAGCTTAGAAGTTAATGAATCCAGATCTCATGTGGCAAGCTGTGGTTCAAATCCTGTTTCTGGCAGCTTGGGGAACACCCTGAGCACATGTGAATGCATACCAACAGGATAGAGAAATGAAAAAGAAGAAATTGTGGCATGGCCACACACTCATTAGGGAGTGCTTACTCGCTCTCTCTCTCTCTCTACATCTCTCTATGTCTTTCTGTCCCTCTCTGGTGAGCACACACACTCTCTTGCAATTAGAAAAAGTAGAAAAGAAAAACTGTATTTCTTAACTCCACAATGTACAAAGTAAATTATGCTTTGATATGCTAACATAAACAATTATGAAAATGATCTCACGTACAACAGTATCAAGAATAAGCTATTTAGGGATAAATTTTTCCAATGAGGAAAAAGAGTTCTACACTGGACAGCAAAAAAAGTTGCTCAAAAAATAAATAAATAAATAAATAAATGAAAACGTTGCTTAAAAAAAAATTAAATAAATAAATAAAAGATATAAATAAATGTGAGGGCATTTCATATTCATGACATGGAAGGATTGATATTACTAAAATGCCCATACTATCCAAGATGACCTACAGAATCCCATTCCAAGCAGTTTCTATAGAAGTCACTGTGAACCTTTTAATCTAAATAGAAACAGCTGTCTTAATATTCATATGAAACCACTAAGAATCCAAAATAATGAAAGTAATATCAAAAGAATAAAGTTAGATGCTTCATACTTTTGAATAGTGAAAGTAATCTCAAAAGAATAAAGTTAGATGCTTCATACTTTTTATTACAAAATGTATTACAAATCACAGTAAGTAAAACAGTAAATCAGAATATGACTTAAAGACATACATAGAGAGCAATGTAAGAGAAAAAGATCTCAAAAATAAACCCAATACATTTATGATCAACAGTTCTTCAGTAAGAATGTCAAGAATTGAACATTGTGGAAGGATAGTCTGTTCAATGAATGATCTGGGGAAAATTGGATATCTAAATGCAAAAGAGCACACAAAAAAACAACTTAAAATGGATTAAGGACTTGGACATAAGACCTAAAACTATAAAACTCCTAGAAGAATATAGAGTGGAGAAGTCTCATGACATGCGTTTTGGCTATGATTCCTTGGGTATGACACCCAAAGCACAAGAAACAAAGGTAAATATTGACAAGTGGAACTACATCAAACAAAAAAGCTTTTGCATAGCAAAGGGAACAATCAACAAAATGAAAAAGCAAGCTACTGAATAGTAGAAAATATTTGCAAACCAAATATCTGATACAAGATTAATATCCAAAATACATAAAGATCTTCTATCACTCAATAGCAGTGAAACAAATAACCCAATTTTAAAAAATGAGCAGAAGACTTGAATGACATTTCTCAAAAAAATATATACGAATGGACAACAGGTAGGTGAAATATTGTTCAGCATCCCTATTCAGGAAAAGCCAACTCAAAACAGCAGTGAGATATCACCTCACACCCTTTAGGCTATTACCAAAATAATAGAAATTAGAATAAAATGTATTGATGATAACATGGAAAAACAGGAATCCTTTTGTACTCTTGGTGAGAATGTCAAACAGTGAAGCTTCTATAAAACAATAACAAGAACAATATGGAGGTTCTTGAATAAAATTAAAAACCTGGCGCAGTTGTGGAGGAAAACTGCTAAGGCACTGTGCTCCATAATGAGATTACAGGTGAGGCACACGTTTGCTTCCTGGACCATTCTAAAAGGCATGATGACATGTGTCTATAAGCCCCGTGATTCATGGGGCCTGAATCAAGAGGATCATAAACTCAGGGCTGGCCTGTGGAATGTAGTAAAACCTTGGCAGAAAAACAAACAAACAAACAAACAAACAAAACTGAACATGGTGGTGTGCACTTAGAGTTGTCTGGGAGGCTGAAGCAGGAGGACTGCAAATCATGACACTCTGTTTTAAAAAATTTAAAATAATGCTATTGCATGATCTAGCAATCCCACCTCCATTTATTTACCCACTATAATTGAAATGAGGATCATGAAGAGATATTTGCATCCTATGTTTATTGTAGCATTATTTTCAGTAGCCTAGATCAGAAAGCAATCTAAATGTTTATTGAAGAATAACTACACAAAGAACATGTGATATACATATACAATGGAATATTATTCACCCATAGCAAATAAATTTTGGATCCGTGATCTGATTGACCTGAAATATGCCTGATATAAACACAGGTAACCAAGATCTGATAAGGTGGGGAACTGGAGGGGAAAGATCAGATCAGATAGAGCGTGTTCCTCTCTCTCTTTCTAACTTCCTCTTTCTTATGTATGCACACATGCTATCTTATGAATAAGGAACATTTTTTTGGAGAGGTTTTTGCTATAGGGCACGTGCACTCTCCAGAAACACAGAGAGAGACAGAGAGACAGAAATCGAGAAATCACGCCCCAGGGGGCTGGCCATGTCGCAATCCCTTCTCCTCCATTCTCCTCTCGGGATCTTGGGTATGCATACACATGCACCCGGCGTGAGTTTAAGACACTGGGTCTGGGACTCGAACTGCCTTCAACTAAATGGGAGTCCAGCAACATGGCCATTATGCCAACTGCAGGTCCTGGAAAAATATTATTATTCTTAATTTAGAGAGAGATTTTTGCTACAGCAAAGGGCTCGTGTGCTTATCAGACAGATAGACAGAAAGCAAAAAATCACTCCCCTCCCACCCCCAGGGAGTATAACTACACTACAGGTTCTTCTCCATTCTTCTCTCAGGATCTTGAGTACGCATGCAACACACCCAATGGGGGTTTTAAGCCACTGAGTCCAGGTCTTGAACCACAGTCGACTACGTAGGAGTCCAGCAACCTAACTATTATGCCATTTGTGGGTCCCAGGAAAAATATTATTACAAATTTGAAATAATGACAATCCCTGGGAAAAACAAAAACAAAACACCATGGTCGACTATGTGGGAATCCAGCAACATTATGCAATCGGCTGATTCCAGGGAAAATATTATTAAAAAAAAAATTTAAAATAATGACAATGCCAGGGAAAAGCAAAAGGGGTTCTGTTTGAAACTTTCTGAATTAGGCAATCTGGAGGTATGGACTAGCAATCTGTGCTTTAACAAGACTCTAGGTAATTTTGAAATGCAAATAAAATTTTCAAGCCACTGGTCTCAGAGAGACTCTCAAAGATCGAAGGTATACAGGTGACAAGAATTCAGAAG